AGATAGATAGATAGATAGATAGATAGATAGATAGATAGATAGATAGATAGATAGATGTGTACTTTTTCAGTCTAACTGTTCTGTTTTAAGATGCAGAGAGAGGGATTGAAAATATCATTAAAATCCACAGCACAGAAATCATGGGGCAAAGGGGGCAGGGATCCAAATGGAAGCATAAATATTCCAAATTGCAGTTGTCTTTGATTTGTTTTCAAGTTATTGGTGGCTTGAGGCAAACTGCTTTTCAAATGTGTTTCATTTTCTTAAGTTTTTACGCTGCAGTGTCCACATAAAAATATGTCCTTTCTATATGCTGTTCCTCTCAAGAATGCCTGAATGGATCTTTAACAATACCCCTGATTGGCCTGCAACTCTTCACTATTTAAGGTTTTGACTATCCTTGAAGCATATCTTAATCAGAAAGGCTAAGGATCATTGGGGGTCTGTATGGAAGAAAATTGAAGGAAAAAGTGACATCCAATTTCTTTTCTAATACATGTAGACAGAAAGTATTTTCCATTATTCCAAATAACTATGGAATGTTTTAGCCAAATGTTTTCTGTACTATTAGATTGCTTTGTCAAAAGACCCACATCTGGGTCTGTTCATAACATATGATCTTTCTTATTAGGTACACCTATGACCAGCGCTACAGAAAGGCCCTTGAAATTTACCTCACACTGAGACATAAAGATGTTTTCCAGCTGATCCACAAACACAATCTTTTCAGTTCCATCAGGGACAAAATTGTTCTACTAATGGAGTTTGATTCAGAGGTATGATGGATTTCAAGTGTGTGTTAACACTTTTTTCTCCATAAGAATGCTTGCAGATAGAAATGAACTGAATTTAACAAATTGAACGTTTTATTATGATGTCTGAGATAGGCAAATTAGTTATATAGTCATATAATTGTTTTTAACAATAATGTTTGCCTTTCTGAAATATTTTTAAAAGTAGAAAAACTGCATTGTTTAAAGAAAAGGATATATTATACTGGTGGGGCTGGGGGGGACTTTAATTTTTCTGGTCTTAATCCATAAATTGTTATACAAGCATTCTCAAGCTGGAAGAACAAAATGATAAAAAAATAGGCTACAATCCATAAGCTATTTTAAACAACAGGTATTTTTTTAAAGAACTCAGTAGTCTTTCCAAATGAACATGAGGGATAATGAGCCAAGGCATTTAATGGTGAGGAAAACATCTTAATTTAGCATACAGATGCAACATGGATCTTTTCATTCTGTTTTCTGTTTGCTGTTGGCTAATCTGCTTGCAAAAATTCCACCTATTATAACTTGATTCAAGAGATAACAATTTTGGTTTTCCTACTCCCTCCCTGATATCACTACTCCTGGGGGAATTAAGATAGTTGAACTCAAGTGACAGAAATGTCAGATTACAGTGACTGTTCCAATAAATATAGTGGTCTCCTTGGATCTGATGTCCTTACTATAGCTCCCAGTGTCCCTCTTTAGCAGGGAGAAGATTGTATGAGGTGGGGTTATGGTTGTTGCACTCCAACATATCAGGAGAGCACCAATTTAGCACAAGCTAAACACGTTGTCTTGTGCCTCAGTCTTGCACTTCTCTTTGTAGTAAAAGCAGCCTAAAGAACGTAGACTTCCGCATCCCTTTCCCTAAAAAATACCTCACCTGAGTAGGCCTTAGGATGACATCTACTACCGTTCACCTTTCTTAAAATATTTTGCTATAGTGACTAATTTAGGTTGCATGAACTAACTTTTTGGTTGCTGCTAAGCATCAAGCACCAGCTGTCTGAATTGGCAGTGGAGCTTCACATCTGCTGGGGATTGCAGCCATAGGCTACAGTTGGTGGTTGCTTTTTTTTCTTTTTTTTTAAATGGATGGGTGTGCCTTCACGTCAGTCTTCACTGCTGGCACCTGCTTGGACAAGTCTCTACAGTTTTCTTGACAAGATTTTTGGAAGTGGTTTGCCCTTGCCTTCTTCCTAGGGCTGAGAGAGACCTAGGGTCCAGTGTCACGCAGCTGGCTTTGTACCTAAGGGAGGACTGGAACTCACAGTCTCCTGGTTTCTAGCCTGGTGCCTTTATTAGATCTGTCTCTCATAGGATGCAGTAGAATACCATTATTACCATCTAATTTTGCACTAGCATTGTACTTTTCTTCTTTCTGGGTATGCAGCTACCATCGTGGCACAGCTATGTCATTTTTCTACAAGACAGCTCAGTCAAAATCTGTAGACGCTTATAAACATTTAACTTTTTGATTTTTGTCTGTCTGTTCTCTATCATGGACTTCTTTTTTTTTTTTCCTTTAGAAAGCCGTTGACATGCTTTTGGATAATGAAGATAAAATCTCTGTGAGTTTAATCATTTAATTATGTTATTGTTAGATGGGTGCCCCATCACCTTTTATAAGTAATATGTAAGTAATTTGCCACGAAAACAGCCAAGTCTTACATCTTAATTCTCTTTGCTTTTAGATTGATAAAGTTGTGGAAGAATTAAAAGATAGGCCTGAATTGCAGCATGTGGTAAGTATATTAGTTTGTTCTTTATCTTAAGGCATAAATATATACATACTTCTATACAGTGGCAACTAAATAGTCCCATTTTTGCAACAGGGGTACTGTTGTGATACAGAATACCTTAATGATAGAAATTCAGCCACACTTCTTAAAGGAAAACATATGGTTAACCAAGAGAACACACTGAGGTCTGCCTGTCATCAGTAGCACTAGTTTCGTCACATTATAGTCTGTAAGTAGAACTCCTTCAAATCAAGCTTGGTTCCTGAAAATGTCCATGCTGTTTTCTTGTTAACAATGTAAACATAGTTTGCCACTGATTCCTTCTGCATTTTTTTTTTATTTCTTGTTAACAATGTAAACATAGTTTGCCACTGATTCCTTCTGCATTTTTTTTTTATTTCTTGTTAACAATGTAAACATAGTTTGCCACTGATTCCTTCTGCATTTTTTTTTTATTTCTTGTTAACAATGTAAACATAGTTTGCCACTGATTCCTTCTGCATTTTTTTTTTAATTTCCCAAGCTAATTTATAAATCTGGAATTTTGTGGTGGTCTCCCATCAAAGTCTTAACCAGACTGACTCTGCTTAGCATTTTGGGGATCAGCCTGGGTTGCTTAGATGCTGCCAATTGTTCTGCTTATCACATTATAAATCCCAGAATACCTTAGGCCAGTTATAGTACAGACCATCCTTCCCCAACCCTCTGGATGTAGTAGATTATTCTGACAATTATAGAAGCTGTAGTTCACCACGTCATGAAGCATTGGGATGGGGAAGATTGGTATGAGCATATTTCCTTCCATATAATTCCCTAATAGTATTTGAGACCTGTCAAGACTTTACCAAATCCAGCGTTAACATGATATTATGAAGTGTTTTTGGTGAGTGCTCCGTTACACTTTATGTAGTCTTTCCTTTGGAGAGCCATTTATATTAGCCCTGAACACCTTTCAAGGGTATTGCAAGATCTGTTTGGTTAGACTAACCTTTGATACTAGGGACTTGGGGATCACACAATATATAATTTCAACAAATTATTTGATGAGAAAATGCCATCAAGGTAGCAGTTCCAGGAAAGGATCACTGGGTCAGAGTGTACTGAAGTGTACTTGCATTCATGGACATTCATCTGGAAGTGCCATCCTCAGCCATCACACATGCATACATCACTGTCTTGGAGTTAAGATATTTGTGAGGAAGAATTATCAAGCTGGAGAAAGCTAAATTAAATCTCTCTGAATTCTACATAGGACAGACAGGCCAACTTTGTTCAAAAGAATTAATAGATCCAGGTTTGGCATCAGGACTCAAAACAAGGACAGAGTAATATCAGAGCATTGCACCTTCCTAGGACACTCCATTACAGATCTCAAAGTAGCTATTTGGGGGGCAGGGGGGAATTACAAGTGAGAAGTGAGAAATTGATGGACTCACATACATCAAAAGGTATGTGTATCAACATACATAATAGGTTTATAACATATTATGATTGTTAATTGATAAAATGCTTACAATATGTCTCACATATAACATGAATCTGCATAACCACTCTGCATTCCCCTCCCTCACCCCCATCTCATCCAGTTCAAATCTTACATCAGCTTAGACACTCCGTGCATCTGATGAAGTGAGCATGAAAGTTCATGAAAGCATATGCCTTTTAATACATTTGTTAGTCTGAAAAGATGCTACCAGACTCCTCCTGAAATTTGGCTATCGTAGACTAAAATGGCTCTCTTTCTACAATGTACTTCCCATCATTGATTCTTCCCTGAAATTTTCCCATCCCTTCATTTGTGACATAAGAAATATGGATGGAACTCATACCTCTTTCTTAGAAAATCAAGTTTTGCCATCAATCAGCAGGGCTAAGGGAGGCAGATTATTGTTTTGATTAGCATGATGGACTTTTTTTGTTGATTTTCTTTGGGATTTACCCCTAGGGAAATTGGAGAGTTGAATTAGTTATTATTCTGAAATTCATACCTAAGATGATGGTCACTTTCTTATGGTTTGATTCTTTTGGTTGGTTTGTAGTATTTGCATAAGCTGTTCAAGAGAGATCATCATAAAGGACAAAAGTATCATGAAAAACAAATCAGTCTGTATGCCGAATATGACCGGCAAAATTTACTCCCTTTTCTGAGAAACAGCACCCATTGCCCTTTGGAAAAGGTAAGTAACATGTCTCAAAACATGCCTTTTTTCATTTAGTATGGTAGTTATTGGTTTTATTTTTTTCTGTTGTGAATTTAGGAGCATATTTGTATGTATTAGTATGTGTTTTCAATCTGCAGCTATTTTTCAACTCAGGGCTACTTTGTATGTAATGCTACCCTCTGCTGGAAAATATGAGAACTAAATGTAATCATTCAGTCCTGGACTTACTGCAGGAGACCACTGTTCTCCTTTATTTTAATATTTATTTGTTTATTTATTTTAGATACTTAATATTGTACTGTTTAATCCTAAGGAATCTCAATATTTTTTAAAGCAAATGCATGCAATAAAATATATACAGTAGCCCTATAGGTTTGAAAAAGACATGCTGTTCTGCAGTTCATCTGTGGACACGGAGGTGGCTCTGCAGCCCCAGTCTGGAAGTGCAGAGGCTAGCACAGTAGGGATACTGGAAGTCCATTGCTGAAGTAACTGTAGGTGTCATTTTGTGATGCTGCTCATGGTTTTCTATTGGTTTTTGGAGGCACCCTCCTTCAAAGTCAGTGGAGGCTTCACAGCACAAGGCTTGTCAGTGGGTTCTATCAGCATAGGGTTTCTTTCACAGTGTCTTTGTAGTGCTTGCATGGTTGACCTTGAGGTCTCTTTCCAGACTCCAGTACACTGTAGAGCAACTGGTGAGGCATACAGTGGTCATCCATTCTGATGATGTGTCCCACCCACTACCTCTAGGCTCTGATAATCAGGGACTCAATGCGGGTGGACTCCGTGCGATCCAAGACCTCCAGGCAACAAATGCTGAGGATAGAGTGGAGAGCGCGCATGTGAAATTTCTCCAGTTGTTTGATATACCTTTGGTACAGAGTCCAGGACTCACATCCACATAGGAGAGAAGGGATAGCCACAACTCTGTAGACTTTCAGTTTTGTGGAGAGATGGTTGTTGTGTTGATTGAGTACTCTAGTATGCAGCCGCCCCAGTGCTTGGTTGGCCTTGCTGATCCTGGAGCCAATTTCTTTGTCCAAAGACCCATCACTCAAGGTGATGCTTCCCAAGTATTTGAAGCTGTTTACATTTGTCAGCTGGGTGTCATCAGCAGTGATTTTTGGTTCTATGGGGTTGGTATTTGGCATGGGCTGGTAAAAGTATTTCAGTCTTATTCAGCTGATACCCAGGCCAAAGAGCATAGCAGCATCTGAGAATTTGTTCAGCTTCAGCTGTAGATCACTGTCTTTGTGTACGAGAAAAGCACAGTCATCAGTAAAGAGGGTTTCTTTGATGACTGTATGGAGGCACAAGCGGTGAAGATCAAAAAGAGAGTCAATCGGTACCTGATGTGTACTCCCTCCTTCAGACCCTGGACAGCACGTGACAACATGCAAGCAAAGAACAGATTGAACAGGACTGGGGCTAGCACACAATCCTGTTTAACCCCATTGGAAATGGCAAATGCAGTTGACGCATCATTGTTGTAAAGAACTTGTCCTGTCACTCTGTTATGGAGTAGCTGAATCAACTTCACAAATTTCCTTGGGCATCTATAACATCTCAGGATGATCCAGAGAGCCTCCCTGTTTACAGTGTCAAATGCCTTTGTCAGGTCAATGAAGACAGAGTAAGGAGGCTTGTTCTGCTCAATGCGCTTCTCCTGGACTTGCCTCACAGCAAATACCATGTCTGCTGTACTCCGTTCTGGCCAAAAGCCACATGGCACCTCAGGGAGGTTCCTTTCCAATACAGTGACAAGTCTGTTCAGGAGAATGTGGGCAAAGATCTTGCCTGCAATGGACAGCACTGAGATACCCCTGTAGTTTCTGCAGTCTGATTTGCTTCCCTTATTTTTGAGGAGAGGCACAATGAGGGCATCACGGAAGTCATCAGGCATCTCCTCTGTGGACCAAATGTCTTCCAAGATGTCTTGGAACGCCTCTAAGGCATTTGGGTCTAGTGCTTTGTAGAGCAGGAATGCCATCCTGTCCAGTTGTTTTATTTAAGTTCATCTGCGAGATAGTTTTCTTCATCTCATCAGTAGAGGGAGCCAGGTCTAGGGCATGCAAGACTGGCAGCTGAGGAATCTGCTGTATGACATCATGATCAGCTGTGGATGACCTATTGAGCAGGTTGGAAAAGTGTTCAGCCCAGCAGTTTTGTCCTTCCTCATCTTTGATCAGGCTTACCCATCAGATGACAACAGGGGGGAGCATCCTGATTTAGAAGGACAGTAAACGACTCTGAAGAACTCTCTGGTGGCATGCATGTCTGCATGGTGTTCCATCTGTTAAGCCTTTCTCTGCCACATTCATCCTGCATTTCTCACAGTTCCATCTGTACTTTGCACTGCAGGTGCTTGAACTTGTCTTTCTTTGAGACAAATGATGGATCATTCTGCCAGTCTGCACAGGCCTTGTTCTTGGCCTGGAGGGCTGCTGAAATGGTCTCATGGTTTTCATCAAACCAGTCTTGATGAACCTGGGTTTTCAGTCCAAGTACAGTTGTTGCAGTCTGTGTGATGATAACTTTAAACTGTGTCCACTTTTCAGAACAGGTTGCTACAAATGGTAAATTGCCAGAGAGTTTTTCATTACGTACATCTTGGAAACATTGGACTTGGCCTGGGTCTTGCAGTCTCCTAATGTTGAATGACTTTCTAACAGTCCTTGGTTGCTTATGATGTAAAGGGGCTATGTGCAGGTTGAAGACCAACTGTACCAGCCTGTGATCTGTCCAGCATTCAGTACCTCACATGGCTCAGGTGATGGTGACATCTTTAAGGTCGCACTGACGTACTATGACATAGTCAAGTAGGTGCCAGTGTTTGGACCTGGGATGCATCCAGGTAGTTTTGTACTAGTTTGCAAGTCTCCACATCGTGTTAGTGATGCACAGGTTGTGCTCGGCACATTTGCTTAGAAGCAGCAAGCAATTGCTATTTAGTTTTCCCACCCCATGTGTCCCAAGGACTCCATCCCAGTTGCTGCTGTCTGTCCCCACCCTAGTGTTAAAGTCACCCAGAATGGTGAATTTCCCAGTGGTGGGGGTGGTTCAAATAATCTGGTCCAGGTCCTCATAGAAACCTTCCTTGTCTTCATCTGGACTCATGAGAGTTGGTGCACAGGCACTGACCATCGTGATATACCAGGACTTGCTGAGAGGAAAGCAGAACTTCATAATGTGCTCATTTATTCCAGTGGGTAGAGTAAAGATGTTATTCAGCAGACCAATTTTGATTGCAAAACCTACTCTGTGAGTCCTGTTATCAGTCTGTGATTTCCCTTTCCCAAAGAATGTATACCCACTCGCTGCTTCCTATAATGAACCCTTATCTGCCAACCTGGTCTCACTGAGTGCAGCAATGTCAATGCTTTAACGGTGAAGTTCAGCTGCTGTGAGTTTGTCTTTCAGGCCTTGAGACCTTGTCTCTACAGCAAGGTGTGCTTGTTCCAGGAAAAATGAGTTTTCTTTGATTCATTTTTATAGATGCTCGACTGCTGAGGAGATGATCTGCCAGCCACGGTTAGCTAGCCAGGTGTTGTGGGGCAGGCAATGTTTAGGATACCTTTTTTAACCCTCTCTGTCATGCGAGAGTGGGCAGTGCTATCCTAGAAATGCTGCCCAGTCACCCTGGATGCTGCCGGACATCTCTGCTGCCCTGGGTACTGAGATGAATGACCACTGGTCCAAGGGCTGCCCACATGCAGGTTTGTTTCTACAACCACCAGTGGTCATCTCCACCTGTTGCTTTGCCATTCCACCATTGCCACAGGGCTCAACGAATTAGGTTTGGATTTACATGATTTGCAGTTGAGTTGTAGATGAAAAAGAATTGCACAACAGAAACCTGTGCATGTTGGAGTTTTAAGTGGAGCAGCCATTGCAAAGGGATAGCCCCACTCTCTCGGCATAAGAGACCTTATGTGCATGAAACCAAAGGTGAACGAGCAGCCCTAGAAAGGGCATGGCAGGCCCCTCCAACAGAGGTGCTACCCTTCCCTAGACACCCCATACACCCCAATATAGATAAAATATATAAATATAAAATATAAATAAATAAAATAGTAGAGCAGTATAGTGTCACAATAAGCTAAACCTTTTATAAAATAAAATCAATCATTCAAGAACTGCTTCTTAGCTTGTGCTAAATAGTCATTTGATTGGTGGTTAGTGAGCTTTTCTGGGACACGATTTGCTTACTTGGAAAATATTTACATAGTGGAGTCCCAGATTCATATCCTCGTTATATCACGGACCTCACTGTCTCAGTTCAGTTTGTTCAGAATGGTTGTTAGGGATAAAATGAAAGGCAACCTCCCTTCTCCCCTGCCCCCTCCCCAAGGATTGCCATCTAGAACTTCCATAAGGAAGGTGGGAAATAAACATATGTAGAAAGAAATATACCATCCCCTCTCTCCTATTATACTATCTTTGGTAACAAGTGAGCAGAAAACAGAGAAATCTCAAGCTCTGTTTCCTTCATTAGTAATGTCCTAGCCTCCTGCACTTGCTTTTCTAATATTTTCCAGTCTTCTTGCCTAGGGATATGTTTATGATGCATCTCTGTTCGTGAAAATACCTTTTAAAATATTTTTTAAAAATAAGAAATAAATTGCTTCCCACCCCAGTTGTAGACCCCAGTTCTACAAAAATCACTGGGCTGGTCTTTCTGAAATTATTCAGGGGTTTTAAATTAAGGCCACCTATGTGATCTTATTCATTATCATTAGAAATTACACTGCAAGGTAGTGAATAAAATGTGTCTTTTTTTTAGCATTCACCAAACTAGAAAGGTTGTTGCTCATTAACTTTAGTCAGCAGTGCTATATTCCACTGATTGCAGTGCGCCTTAGAAACTTGCTGCTAATCTTTGTTGTTGTTATTTATCCATGATGTTTGATTGTTTCATATTAACATTTGTTTTTTGAAATTACAGGCTCTTGAAATCTGTCAGCAAAGGTTCTTTGTGGAAGAAACTGTTTATCTTTTGAGTAAGTGGCTGTATTTTGCTTTGTTTTGTTTGCTTTTACTAAAAATTATCAAACCAGTATTTCTAGAACCTATATACCATATAAAATTCTTCCTGAGACAGGAAGTTCAGAAATGAAACAAAAGTTAAGGGGGGGTGGGGGAGAGAGGAGATTTAAAGCAGTCAAAGTAAACTTGCGTAACCACTAGCTACTGAATATCAAGCATTGCTGATGCATATCCAGACTGTCATGGCTACCACAGATGAGTTTTTGTACATACTAGCTGTGCAAATATGATCATGGATGGTGCTTTTAATAAGAGGCTGATGTTCCTAAGCACATCTCTTTCTTAAATTCTGGGGTTTTTTGCCTGCAGAGCAGCTTGGTTACAATTTGCTATTTATCTTTGTTAAATCAATGTTGGTGCTTAAATCACAGTCTTATGTGTTCTCCAACTGAAGATGGTAGGAAGTTATGTTGTTGATATTTTGCAGAGCTCTGAAGGCAGTGAGTTTTGGTTCTGCCTGCCATTTGGTGCCCACTTTTGGATGAAATCCATGCTGCTTTTTTAACCTGCATCACTGCACATAATTCAGTATATAACTTAATTCCACAAGAAGGTTTTTGAATGTACTCTGGGCCTATTGATTTCTTTGGAAATAGAATATATTGCTTTCATTTAGACAGGTGCTCTTTCCTGAAGCTAAAAAAAAAAGAAGAATAGGGATTTTAAAATGTTTTAAAAGTGCCTTCCCCAATCTGGAAAGATGGTCCAGATGCTGTGCTCCCATTATCTACCTGCATGGTTATGTTTGTTGGGGATTATGAGAGTTGTAGTCTAACACATCTGGAGACTATCAGGTTAAGGAAGGCACTTTTCAAGACAGTAAAGCTAGGAGGGGAGTGCGGTTCTGCTTGTAGAGCAAAGTAGTGCTTTGTTATTGTTTTTAAGCTATTCTTTTGCATTTTTTCTTTCTAGGTCGAATGGGCAATAGTCGAAGTGCCCTGAAAATGATCATGGAAGATCTGAATGATGTAGATAAAGCTATTGAGTTTGCTAAGGAGCAAGATGATGCCGAACTTTGGGAAGACCTTATTTTGTATTCCATTGACAAACCCCGTAAGCAATGTGGTCTTTGCCTAGTTTATTATAATATGGTTATGTCTGTATCAGTGAGACGGAAAGTGAATTTAATTAAAGGTAAAGAGGAGAGGAGAAATAATGTATGCCTCTCTTGTACAAAAACGGTATAGCCAGATTGATTTGGGAATAATGCCAGCTTGAATAGTGCAAGGAACTGAATTGCAGTATAATCACTGTAGCTGAACATCAGTTTAATTATTGAAAGAACACAATGGCACTGAAAAATGTAAGTGATTACATTATTCCACAGTTGTGGGACATTTGCTGTTGCCTGACAAATTAAATGAAAATGTTGGTATCCTTTTTGGTTTCCTAAGCTCCTCTACAAAGGTATTTTGCCTTCTTTAATAGAGAGATATTAAATGGAGTTATGTTTTTTCCAAATAAAAATTCCTTTAAATGTGACTAGACTGTCATGAGAAGAAAGGGCCTTCTCCTTGCACATCTGCAAACATGCTGCCTTTTATTGCCTGAGCTGCTGTGATTTCATGAAACGTTTACCAGTGTTCATACTGCCAAAATGTAAAGTCAGCAATAGCATTTGCAAATCATTCCATGAAATAAATGAAATTTCCCTCCACATGTAGATACATTGTGTGGAACAGGTAGGCTGTTGTGGTTGAAGGAAAACCTTCTATATATAATGGAAAGATAGAAGGAGTTCTGTAAGTGCAAAAGCTAATCTAGGAACACAGAATGGGATTAGAAAATGTGATTGTGGGAAACTGAGACTAGAAGTGTGGCAGAAGAGCTGTAGATTAAGAAACTACCTTCAGAAATGTTAAAGTCAGAGGCTTGAATTAAAGAATAGCGGAGTATGTCAGGAAAAGGAAAGACTAATAGGAAGAGGGTGTAGGAAAACTTCATGTTCTTGAGAGACAAAGGAGATATCTTACTGAAGGAGGATAATGTATACATTGAAATAAATAAATAAATACATATATACATACATAAATAAAATCAATGCTGGCGCGTTTGAAGCCTAAGAACTTGAATAAAAGATGTACTGAAAGAAAGTGGTGTGGATTAGGCAGTGAGCAAAAAACAGGGCCTATATGATTTTACAGAGGTAGGATGAAAAGACCTGATGGAACATGGGGAGAATGAATTACAGTAAAACCATCAAAATTATTCTTGCCACAGTCAGAGAGAAAATATGAATAAAAGGAGACCATATTAAATATGTGTACAAAACCAAGATGTCAACAAAATATCTCAAGAGTATTTCAGACTGTCCTGTCAAATTATTCAAAGAGTTAAGTCTACAAGAAAACCCAGAGTGGAGGGGAATATAGCTTTTTAATTAAGGTGCATAGCTTAATTTAAAAGAAGTCATATAGCTAGCTAGATCTTTCATCACAGAGGTATCTTCAGTTTTCCATTTATTTCTCACTCTGTCTTTTTAAGAGTAATGTATACCACTTAAGAGACTTCAACATTCTGATTTTGAATTAAGTGTCCTCTGTGTTTCTACAGCTTTTATTACAGGTTTGTTAAACAATATTGGGACTCACGTTGACCCTATTCTCCTGATTCACCGTATTAAGGAAGGTATGGAGATTCCAAACCTGAGAGATTCATTAGTAAAGATTCTCCAGGATTACAATTTGCAGGTAAATTTTAAGATTACGGCTGCCTTTATCCATTCCTCCACTCATGACACCATTGTGCATATTCTTGTGAAAAATGTGAGAAGCCTTTAGTGAAGGAAGCACAGTTTAAAGAATAATCATGCCATAGGAAGTAATTGTCTCACCCTACTGCATCCTTATCAGGCCCCATTTTGAATACCACAGTCTAAAAAGAATGCTAACAGAATGGGGAAGGTTCAGAGGAGGGCCACCAATATGGTAAGGAGCCTGGAAATCAAGTCCTGTGAGGAATAGTGAAAGGAACTAATATATTAGCTTGCACAAGAGAAGACTGAGGGGAAATATTATAGCAGTCTTCAGATATAGAAAGAGTTGTTAAATAGAGGAGAAGGTGGACCTGTTCTATGTTGCCAGGAGGGCAGGATCAGAACCAGTGGATTGAAACTACAGAGAAGTAGATTCAGCTTAGAGATGAGGAGAAATTTCCTGACAATAAAAGCTGTCAACCAGTGGAATAGGTTGCCCCACAAAGGAATATATTTCACTTTACTTAGAGGTTTTCAAATAGAGACTCAATAACCATCTATCTGAATTCCTTTAGCAGATCCTACACCAAGCAGGGGTTAGAGTAGAGGACCTCTAACATCCATTCCAACACTATGATTCTATGAAAAGAATTGTCATCAAGGCTATGAAAAGTGGAGAAATAATAATATTTAGATACGGTTTTCAAGTGGTAATGGACAGAATGCATACTATACGTGTTTTGTTTTGTTTTGTTTTTTGTTTTGTTTTGTTTGGAAAAGAGACTTTAGGGTCCTTGCCAAGTCATCAGCTATGTTCAGTGTTTGGTTTATGCAGCGATAGCCCCTCATTCAAAGGAAGCTCAGGAAATTTCAGATTGGACAATGTGACTCAGGCAATAGTGTTATCCAGATGTGGTCTGCATTAAGCAGAGTTCTTGCCACTGTGTTTAGAGAAGTAGCACAAAGATCGCTATATTTGGTAATACCATTGTCATCATTGACAATGATTTAAGCCTATCTAATAATGATGGCAGTACTATGAGATGAAGGTGTTCCAATATTCATGGCAGGGCAAGACAGAGTTGTCTGTCTGGAATTAAATAGGAAGTAAGTTAGAGCTGCATTCTAAAAATTCCTGTATTTTATACCTCACTATTCAATGAGATGAATATTAAATCATAAATAAAGTAGAGCACTGACAGCTGCAGTTTAATTTATATAGCCATAAAATTGTGCATTCTCTTAAAGTAGGGCCACTCATGCATCAAAAGTGACACATGCCTTGGAGCAGTGTTTAGCTAGTAGAAAATAAATTGCTGTTTCACTGGCAGTGTTTTCTTATTATAATTAAATCACAATCGGCACTCTGACAAGTCTGCCAGGGTGAGCAAGATTACATTGAATTTTAAGCAATAAAGCAGTAATTCCCTAATTTTGACTCTTCACATGTGCACACACACACAGATATACTGTACATGTGAGGGATCCTGTATTTTCAACAGCCATGCATTGCAAAACTTACAAAGAACATGAATATTTTGCTTTCATAATTTATTAAAAAAGGACCCTTCAGGATTAGCCATAGGGTTTTTGATACTCTAGTAAACTGAATTTTGCATAAACTATGTTCTTGTTTTCTTCAATTTTCAGATGCTCATTTTCCAACTAGCAAGGACATTTCCTGTAGCTGGGGCAGAAGAAGCTTTGGGGTTATATTAATACTGACTAATTCCTTTCAGCACTAGGCCAAGTTGGCTCTTCCATTTGTTTGAGGGATAGACTTTCATTAATCTTCCACTTAGAATCTACTGTTTACACAATTTTCATTTATCTTTCATTTAGCATCCACTATTCACATTATTTTCTGTCTCTGATCACTTCTTTATCATCACCAGTATTCTTCCTAAATAAGTGATGATCCTGGTACAAGCCTACAACCTTCAGTTAAAATCCCAAATATTTGTGTTAAAATTCTACTTTGTTGTTTGTAAAACCCATGCAAAATGTCCAGTATTATTACGTGTTTATTACCTAGCTCAGTGTTACTCAGCCTCAACAACTTTAAGATGTGCGGCTTCAACTCCCATGTTGAGTAACACTGGGCTAGCCTAAAGAAAAACAAACAAACGCTATTACTTCTGTTTTTTCTGAAATCACTTTCTGAGTTTACAGGAAATACCATTAAAATGGCCTTGGATGGCTTTGCAAGCAATATCAGAGTACAAGAGGCCATGTCCGTTGCTCTGTCCCCCACCATTCTCACAGCTGCAAAGATGTTAGGCTTTTCACAGTCAAAACTATTCAATATGTAATAAAGGGGTCAACAGCAGAGCATGGGCTCTTCACAGCTGGCCATATTTAGATTTCTCTACATGATATTGTATGAGAAGATCAACAAGAAGATACGTATTGCCCCACAATTTTACATCTCTTATTCTCTGGGTCCAGCCAACAGAGGAAAGAACTGAATACCAAATTGTAAGCTGCTGGGTTCTGTTTTAAAATAGGCTTGTCAAGATTAGCCTAGTGGGTGTCAGGGGAAACCTTTTCACTTGTTTAGCATGTGATTGCACTTTTGCATAATGGCAGAATTGGTTCTGTTGACTTTGAGAGGTATATTCCTTGTGAGAACTTGTTTCATTAGTTCATCCAGAGAATTGGTAACTTTGGGCACTGTTAAAGCAAAATATTTGATATTTGTTTTTCAGAAAATAGTCAGTTCAGCTTTTCCAGAGAACATTTTTCAGATCTTGTTTGCTAATAGTGGGCATATTTTACATCTTTTTGAATTCAGGAGCAAAATTGCCATTGATCTTAGCTCAGATTATTGATAGTGATATTGATCTGAGCCATTGATATTGCCCAGATTATCACAAATTATTTCAGCCACTTCAAGGCCTATAAGAGAAACCAGCCATTGCAGTACAAAACAATAAAAACACATGCATGCAGCACAAAGCATAAAACACAATTTTTAAAAATGGTCATTATTTGTGATTGGCATCACAGTACTGCTGATCTTTATTCCAATAGTGCTGATCTTTTGCAATCAATAATGAGCAAAACAAACTGAAATGTTTGCTGTTATTATTATATATGGCTTGACTCCCTAGGTTTATGAAATGAAGAGCTATATATAAATTTGACATTTTCTCCTTTTATTTGTCTAACATTTCATTGTTCAGTTTCATATCCTGCTCTTCAGCTATTCAACATTTGTGATGCATTCATTAGGAGGGAGAAAAATCTGACTCTAGATTGACCAAAATAGAGCTTGCTGCTGGTGCTTTGGGGCTTCACAGGATCCAACTGGATGAGATGACATACAGCCTCTTTCCACAACTACATAGTATGTGGAGAAAAAAGAGAGAAGTCCACATGCACTTCCTGTTTTTGGCAGTAGACTTGTACTTGTCATTAATTCTGGTTTTACCTTAACTTTACGATGTGTGGACTTCAACTCCCAGAATTCCCAGCATGCTGGCTGAGGAATTCTGGGAGTTGAAATCTACACATCTTAAACTTGCCAAAGTTGAGAAACACTGCCTTAACTCATTCTAATGCATTCTTTCCTGATTAAATGCATTGTTGTAACAACGAAGACATATTTGTAAAAAACAATTTAATGAAGAGTTTTGCCACTGTCTGCTAATGCCAAGGCTCTCAGACTATGGTTTTTAACCCCTACCCACCCCTGTGGGTCATGAACAAATTAGTCAAAAAACTTTTTAAAAATTTTATCAGGCTTGCATAGGCAAAGTTTAAGCATTGTCAAAACTTTGGTCACTCTTTTGTCTATGCAAGGCCCGAGAGTTTGAGAACCCCTGTGATATATAAATTATAATTCAATTATTAAAAATTGTTTATATCTTTCTTATCCAGTCCTAATGAATTATTTAGCTTTCATAGAGGGGTTGCACAAATTCATTTAGTGTTTTAGAGGATCACAGTAGCACAAACTTTGACAACCTTTGCATAGTGTATACATTTCTGAATTATTGAACAATCATTAAAAATCAGACAAACAGTGAAGGTGAGAATTTTTTACAGCAGGATGGAGTATGAAATTGACTCAGATGCAATATGGTTCAAAGTTAAGAGAATAAACTTAGTTTCCCTATGGACTTCCCAAGCTTCCTCAGACTTGCTTTGATTTTTCTTTTTATTTGGTCCAAATATTGGATTGCTTGATCCAAACCCAGATAAACTGCCACTAATGCATGGTTAACGGAAACCAGATAGCTTCAAATAATAATTTGGGAATAGTTAATCTGTTAATACTTTTAAGACAAAGCATTAACAAAAGTGAATTTTAAAACAAGAAATAGAATAAAAACACTGCAGTAAAGATGAAGAATAGGTATCAATGTGTACCGTAAAGGATTAATATAAATTTAATTGATTAATCAATTAGGAATAATCAGCTAAAATTGATTGAGCAGCTATTTGTTAGAAGGCCACTGCTATAGTTTTCATTGCATACTGATTTCATTTCATTATTATATTGCAGCTGATTATTAAGAAAATGTAATGAGAGATTAGTTTGTTGGATGCTGTTGTCAAAAATGACATTAAAATGTATCGAAAAATAAGAATTAATAGAACATTTGCAGATATCCATGTCTTTTTTAAGGAAACTTGTTAGTTATATAACAAAGCTTTATCCTGAAATTCTAGTAGGATTGCGCATGCAAGTACTTAACACTGCTAATGTTTAATTTTAACTACTGCTTTTTTAAAGCTCCAGAGGTCATTATCTTTAGTGATAATCATTAGCCTTAGTGATAAGGAGAGTTAGGAAACCTGCTGACAAATTATAATACAGTTGTATTTTTTTCTTTTCTAGATTTTGCTTCGGGAAGGGTGTAAGAAGATTCTTGTGGCTGACTCTCTCTCATTGTTAAAAAAGATGCACCGAACACAAATGCGGGGGGTACTTGTGGATGGTAGGTTCCATAAATTATTGCAAAATACTGACGCCTGAACAGCTTTTTGGCACTTGAAGAGCTTTTTGGATTATTTCCAGTTTTATATCAGTGAGATATGATTAAAACTATGGGTTGATAGATATAAGATTGTTAAATCTATTGCATACTCAACTCTTTAAAGGGGAGATGAGCCTCGTGATTGCTATAGCAATAGCTGTACCCATGATTTCTCAATTGGATTACTGAGTCTGCAAAATAGTTCATGAGATATTTATAAGTACTGAATGTATTAATATTTTCATTCATTTGCTTTGATGTTGAGAGCTATTTTTCTTATACTGAAGATTTTCTCAGCTTTGATAATTACTGCTCAAAATAGAAACCGATATATTGTATTAACCTTTATATTTCACTATTTTTTCTTACAGAAGAAAATATCTGTGAAATATGCCTTTCCCCTATACTGCCTACAGGTAGGATATTATGTGACCATGCTTGGCATTCACTGTACATGTTCTTTAGAGAACAAATCCTGACTGGAATCTGTTTTAGAATATCTGGTTGTTGTAATGTTGGTTGTTATAAATGTTGTCTTAGTGCCCTGCCAGTATACCTAGCCATTTCTTCCTTTCTTTTTCCTTTGCATTCTTTCCCACATGAAAAAATGATGGAGCTGGTGAGGAATTCAAACCAAAGATGTTGAGTAATCTAAGCCCAGAGCTAAATCTGACCCTTTATAATGCCACTGGAGCCCTTTCTGATACTTGCTTAAAACTAGCGGTACTGCTTCAAGTGGTATATAAAGCATTTCAAATTAAACCATTCTGAATTCCAAACATATCAAATGAAAAAATGCCCTGTTGCCAATGCAAAACAGCTTTTTAAAGTGTGAGCTAGATCCCTTAGAGCACTTTTGAAGTGCAGAATGCTGAAGTCAAAACAATTCTGTTCCAAATGTGAACAAAAAATATCCTAGCCCTGGAGCCTATGATTCTCCAAAACTCTTAACTGTGGTCTCCAACCACCAAAACGTTGCCTCCCCAGACTTAAAGTGATACTCTAATTACCTTTGCTTCCCTTGAAAAAGATTAGACGAAGTTATTTCAGACTGTAAAGAAATCCAATTTACAGTATGACAGTGCAATGACACAGTCCATTAACAAAATAATTACTATATAATCAAATAGAGAAGCTATATAAAAATGTAGGAGAAAAAAATAATAGCTGACTTCAGCTTCACTGCAGTATTTCAAGAGGCCACAATAATCCAGTTTATGGATAGAGATCTCAGGGTAGAATCTTTTCACTAATTTAGATGTGTCACATCTAGTTTCTTCCTCGCAACATATGTTTCTCTTAGAACCATAGTTGTCTACTTGTTTCTGTGGATGAACTTGACTTTCTCAAGAAGAAAAACAATCTACCTAAATATCCCTCCCTGTTAAATATTCTTTTACCTCCAAGGGCCAACCATAGGATCACAGTCTTAAGAGATGCTTTCACAAGACAGTCTGAGAAATGTTTTAAAAAGAATAGAGTGTCTTAATGCAGATTTTTTGGGGAGGTGAGGGGTATTTGCATTTGTAAGCAGGTCATTAGAGAGCCAGTATGGTGTAGTGGTTAAAGGCACCAGGCTAGAAACTAGGAGACTGTGAGTTTTAGTGCTGCCTTACGCATGAGGCCAGCTGGTTCACTTTGGGCCAGTCACTCTCTCTCAGCCCTAGGAAGGAGGCAGTGGCAACCCACTTCTGAAAATGCTGCCAAGAAAATTGCAGGGACTTGTCTAAGCAGTCATCAGGAATCAGGACTGACTCAAAGGTGTGGGCACACCTACCCACACACACAAACAGAACATTACAAGACTCTCCTTCTTGGAGCACAGGTAGTAAAGCAGTAGAAAATGTCTTGATATTTCTAAGGACTTGTAGACATTAGCATTTCCACATAATGCTACATGGTTACAAGATATCTCCATGAAGACGCAGAAACAAAACTCAGTTTGTCTAATTGGTGAAAGGAACAAATTTGAAAAGGGTCATAAAATATCTGCTTGTTAACAAAGTGTCATATTTTACCATAGTACAGTCTTTTGCTGATTTTTGTTACTTCAGTTAATGTACATCATGTGTTTTTCTCTCTCTCCTTGCCAGATGCATCTAAATCTTTCAGTGTAACAGTATTTCATTGCAGGCATATGTTCCACAAAGAATGTTTTCCTGACCCTAGCACAGTAAGTAACCAATTTAATCTCTCCGTATTCTAAAAATTGCCCTGGTCAAAGGCAAAAGGACAAATAAAATATTTTTGCCAGCTACTGAGAAGAGCATGTGTTTACTGGGGATGATAATATAGTAATTGTTTTTACCTGGATCTCTGCAAGAGTTGCAAGCTACAGTACTGAGGTGATGCAAAATAATCTTTCTTTTCCCGTTTCCATCTATCCAGCACATTGAGTTTTAACAGTTGCATTAATTCTGTTCATCTAACTATAAGTCAGATAGTAAAGGGGAACCTTCACTTAGACTTTACAAAAGGTCATCTTTATATCCCACTTAATAGGGCAGCACTTAAAAATCAAATTATCAAGTAAGCTGCATATTTTTATAGCCTTAATAAAACCTACTGACTTAATGATTGAATAGTTCAGGAGGCAGTTTAATCTATGGAAAAAGTTATTTTGCCACAAGAGGGTAAAAATACTTGTTGCATAATTTAGCACTCAAAATGCATGTTGCAATACTGTACATATTTAACTGGAATTCTCAATCAGTTTAGTGGCCATTACTTCTGGGACTGGGAAAAATTATTGGAGCAGTCACTTCCTAATTAATTCATTTCTTGAAACATGGAAGCGACTTTTTCTGCTTATTCCTTTGCAATTAACAGTAGGTAAATTGGTAGAGTCCCCTTTTGGAGCAAGATCAATTTCATTTCTAAGTATTGAAGTAGATATAGATTCTGTTTCTCCCCTGTATTTAAGTATCTTCTCAAAAATAAATATTAAATACTGTCATGAGGTTTTAACCTTGCGGTGTGGAAAATCAGCAGTTACACGTTTTAAGATTATTTACTTCAACAACAGAATAATGGCTGTAAACTCACTTGTATATGTTTGGTAGGCATTTATTCATTTAATTTTTATACCCTGACTCTCAGCAACTCTGGGCAATTCGCAGATAAAAACAAAGAGAACAATAAAATAATACAATGATAGAAACAAAGAATAAAAGATGACACAAACCAGACTGCAACCAAAGCAAACCCACATTATGTAGAAACGGGCTTCAATCAACCTTGCCAAAGGCCTGGGCAAAGAGCCAAGTCTTCCAGGCTCTCTGAAATGCCAGCAAGGTGGGGGCCATCCAGATCTTAGAGGAATCTCATTCTAGAGGGCAGGTGCTGCAGCAGAGAAGGCGTGCTTCTGGGCTTCCAATAGATGGCATTGTTTAATTGAAGGAACCCAGAGCACACCAATGCTGCTGGATTGAATCAGCCAGGCAGATGCTATGGGAGACACACAGTCCCTCCAGTAACCAAGCCCTATGCCATGTAAGGCTTTATTGGTAACAACCAGCACAATGAATTGCACCCAGAAGCAAACTGGCAGCCAGTGCAGCTCTCAGAGCAGGGTGTTACATGGGCATACTGAGGCATATTTCATACATATTGATTAACCTTGGGAGAAGCATATGACTAATCCCGTGTGCTCCAGGGAAATTTGGATTTGTGCTCCTCAAGCAATAATGCAATCCATCACGCTTAAAGCAAACTGCTTTCAAAAGCACTGTACTAGATTACATTGTAGTCTGCAATTCAAAGAATATGAATATGATATATAATAAAGCAATACAATAGAATATTGTAAGGTATTAAAATATCTATTATTAGTCCCATGGAGACTTCAACTATGAGGCAGAATATAAATTTCAATATAAATATGAGAAAGAGAAAGAGAAGGGAAAGAAGTCCAAAATTCACTGTTCACTTACCTATTTTGGCATACCTAATGGATTGTGTGTATGAATTTTGACATAAAAATGAATGTTCTGACACTCTGGCTGAAATTCCTCTTTCATACTTTTCTCTTTATTAAATAAGATGAAACAAAAAAAAACTAATTGCTTGATACAACTCTGCTGATAAAGTAATGTTGTGTTCCACAATTTAAAAAAAAATAAATCATCATCTTGTCAGAGGTTTTGCTTTCATTTGCTGCAAATATGCAGTAGTGTTATAAAACCAGTCCATGTCTTTTATTTCCAGGAATCTTCATTACACTTCTGTAACATCTGCAGTGCTAAACACCGTGGACCGGGCAGTGCCATCTTGGAAATGAAAAAATAACCTCTGCCATATCAAAAGCATCTGTATTTGCATGTGACTCCTTTCATGTGGGACCACAGAACAATGCTTCAGAGAGAGAGAGATAATTACCTTTGTTTAAGGATATGATAAAAAGACCTCCTTTAATCCTACATCTCACTGATATTTCCTGTACAAATTTGAAGTCCTAAGAGCAAATCCAAATGATTGTTGCTGACTCATTATTGTTGCACCGCTCAAATACAGTCATCTGTATGTTTGGCTAAACCGACATTGTATAACGTAAAGTAAATCTCAGTGGGAAAATTCATAGTGTTGATACAGTAGGACCACAAACTAAATCATGCTCTACAGAATGCATTTTGATTCTATATTTATGAACAGGTACAGATATTAGCTATCTCATTAGTGCCTACATTCAACTTTAGTCTCCATTTAGATCCTACTCATCTTTTCTTCTGAGAATTCAAAACAGTTTCTGATGGCAGCTAGACAGTCAGTGTTAAGAAAATTTAAAATATCTGCTGATATTAGGTGCAGGCAGGTGCCTCTAAGAAGCTTAAAGCCAAAACTCAGGCTCCAGCTTTCACCTTTTGTCACTTGAAATAATCTGGTCTTCAGAATTATATAGTATATTTAGAGTGTAGGCAAATTTATTGTGCTGATGCATACATTTGGAATCCTGTGGGAATTCACAAAACTGGTTCAGGAAATGGCTGGTGTATTTGCTCTGTTCCAGCCCATCTCATATACTCCCACCATCAACCCAGCTTAACTTGCTCTGTTTTTTCCTGGGCTGCAGACACACTTTGAAACAAAGCACTGGGTACAACTCATCATTTTTTCTAAAAATGCCTGCAGAGTCCAAAAGCATTCTCATAAATGCAAATTATGCTAATGACTGGCATTGGCCTCATGCTAAATTCCCACTTAGTTTTAATTTAAAAAATCTAAAGAAAAGTAAGATCAGATGGCAGGCTCCAAAGGAGCTTTGAGGACCCTTAAGCACCAGGTCTACCTGTGATAAGTTAGGCTTCTCCAACCTGAGTTCCTTCAGATGTTTTGAGCTACAACTCCTAGCACCACTGACCATTGAAAGTATGGGATGAGGCCGATCAAAAGTTCTAGTGATTAGCCATGATAGTTACCTTCCATGATTTTTTTAAAGTGAGAATGATGCTAAGCATCAAGAATGTGCATCTCCTCACCTGTGGCTTTGAACTGTCTAAACGTATTAGTAAATTATGGAACTATGCAGTAGGAATGAGGAACTAAGCAAAGTGAGAAATAAAGGTAAAGGATATGTATCTACTGTACTCCATATTTCCAAATAGTTGTTATTTCCATAGTTGTCAAGCAGCCCTACATGTATATAATTATCAGGCAATGGCCCATTGACATTTCCCTTATTGTTTGTCTCTGAATTGCAGTCAAGAATTATATGAACCAGAGTACTGGGGGGGGGGGCACGAAATAAGCAAAGAATAGCTGCTGATCCTGTGGGTACAGAACATTCAAAAAGTAACAATAGACATGGACAAAGCAATAGTAGAAATGGATACTAGGTTGTTAAATGATGTCCATGTATTCGCTTGTAAAGTTTTCAATAAAGGAACGCTTTGAAATGTAATTTTAAGGAATATAATTTGTAGACAAGTGCTTGGAACTTAATATGGGATTGATAGAGAAGCAAGGTACCCTGGGCAGAAAAAATGTGGGAACAACATTTTTCACAGTTCACTCTAAATGCAGCAAGAAGACAATTGAGCATGAAGAGCTATAAAGAGCTCATCATTATTGTATACATCTACAAAATATGTTGGGGTGTTTGAAAACATATATATGGGGAAAGGACCAGTTCAGTGAGTGGAGGAGATGTTTGCATGCAAAAGATCCCAGGTCAATCTGTGGCTTCTTTGGTGAACGGGATTCCAGGCACCATGTTATGAAATTACATCTGCCTGTAACCCAGAAGAGTTACAGCTAGAAAAAGAACAGATAATACAGGGCTGGTGCATGAACAGTTTCATCTGGTATAAAACAGCTTTCAGTGGTTTTATATACTTTATGGTTGGGTTTTCCCTGCATGACCAGTTAGCCACAAATAATGCCCTGAATCTATTTGATCCAAGTACAGCAGTGAAATTAATTAGATGTCTCTCTGTATGACTAAATTAGATTAAATGGGTATTGTGCCTAATCAGGAGATCTTATGGGGTGTTAGGTGGTGTGCAAAACATGAACCATTTTAAATTTGAAACATCCCATTTTGAATAGGAGCTGCCCTATTTCAAATGCAAAGCAACTGTTTTTGAGTGGAAAATAGGTCGTGTTGAGCATTCTGGAAGTGTTTCAGCCATGGAGAGAGCCACATGGGTTGCTGGGTGTGGCTAATGATAAAACGTATTTGCAGAAGTGATTGAAATATTGCTCATATATATTGCTTGTTCACTGCTGTGTCAAAGTATGTCCCAATCTTGTTTGTTTGTTTGTTTGTTTGTTTGTTTTTGTGGGCTTATACACCACTCCAGTTTTCAACCGACTCCAAGAGGCTTACCATCCTACCTATGTAAATGAAATTAAAGCAACAAAAAGTAGTAACAACAGACAATATATATGTAATAAATTACAGTTCTCATTCACACTAGTTATGTTCTATAAAGTTGCCGCAAACACTGAATTAGTTAATACTGAATCTCAGCTGGAACATGTGCATGGGGTGACTCAATTTTTTCATTGCTCTGCGCGTGTCTGAGAATGACCACAAAAGTGCCACAATTATGGATTTTGGAGTTACAAATACATTCCACTGAGTAGGCAAATTCCAAATAAGGAATCTGCGAATAATGAGGATCAACTGTATTTCTATATTGAGGACTCATAGCCCATATAAACACCTATTCTTACTTATCTCTCAAAGGCCTGTTGAAATAACCAGGTTTTATCACTTTCCAAAGTCCCAACAATGTTGGGGCAACTCAAAACGCTGGGGAATGCCGTTCCAGGGAAGTGTGACAATGGCTACTCAAGCTGCTGCTGCATTCTGGGCCAGCTGCAGCTTCCTAATGGTTTTCAAAGATAGCCCCAGGTAGAGGATATGGCAGTAGTCCAAATGGGAGGTGAGTGAGGCATGCTTTACCTAAGCATTTTGGTTTGCTGGGGCATCTAAATGTGGCCTTAAAAGATACATACTAGGAGACTATTTTTTGCATTAACAGGTCTTGGTTTGTCCATTCAAATGAACTAGGTATCTGCTGTATATCTTTAAAAAATCTACATCTGTATAAAGCATGCCATATAAATTGGCTTTTTGTTCATAATCATGCTATTACAAACCATTTTAGTTAAATACTTACAGTCTTCTCCAAAATTTGTGAGTTCACACTACAGTAATTACTGAGATAGTATGTGGCAATAACTTATCTCATTTGCATTCATCAGCGATTTAGCATTCCCCTACTGAAGTGAAAGCTATCAATGGGCTGAATGAAACTGGCAAGCTTAATTATGTACAATCATGTGCTGTTTCATGTCCATGCTGTCATCTGGGTTACATCATCCCAGGTGTTTGAAGATTGTTTCATGTTCCTATCTGTCATGCCCAAACTGCAAATTGTACTATACAATAATGTTGCAGCATTTTTTAATCCACTCAAAGCATCCTTTATCTTTGTTTCTACAATCTGTATGATTCCAGTAATATCTGTTTCCATAGCACCCACATGGCTCCTATATAGTACTATATGAGGAGACATACAGTGCTCATTAAAATAGTTCTTGGATGTCCCAAAATTCTTTTTTTCAGTTTATTTTGCTATATTGTAATTTGTCTCTTTATAAGTATCACATAACAATCAACACATTCTTTAACATGCTGCAGATATGAGCCACTATCCTTTAGGAAATTGTTTCAATATTATGTTACACAGTATGTGAGAGGGTTTTCAGATAGACCCATACTGTTTCACAAGGATGACATCTTGGGCAAAATTTAAATGTGCGGTCTTCCACATTGATATGTGCTGTCTTCCACATTATTTGGTGATGAGGCTAGTGACATATATATACAAAGTGAGTCCCAGAATGTAGGCCATTATTGTGAGAACTCAAACAAGCTCTCACCATTATGCACACACATACATGCATCTATCTACATGCATATCATAGATAAACAGGGACCATCTCACTAACGTGGATATAAGCAGGGCAGGGTAGCAAATCTAAAACAGGGTAGGGTAGCAAATGATCAGTGCAACAAGTCATTCTATGCCATTTCTCATGGGCTGATGATGATGCTTTAACTAACTAACTGAAATAGTTATAAAAAGGGAGAGAGGTAACCTTTGGAGGAAAGGTATAACATATAAAAGGAAAGTATAGGATAAAGCGGGGGGGGGGAATAGGATACGCAGAGCTTTGGAACAGGCATGGGTGTGCGTTCCATATTTGTCGGCACCTTAAAGAAGCTGTGATTTTTCCTGAGATTGCACGGTCGCTGCACAGAGTCAGGCAAATACATGTTTCACTTAAGGATGTCCCAGCAGTGTATTCGGAAGCACCCTGCAATGTTATCATTGGCACCCTAACTCAAAAAATATTTTCCTAGGATTGGGCAGCTCCGATGCAAGCCCAGGAAAAGACAGTTTCTTTAAGGAGGCACTGACAGGTGCAGCTTCACATCCACGCCTGCTCTAAGCTGCTTTTTGACCTCAGATCTGGAGTGCTGTTTCTTCCTCGTAAAAAGGTGGACTCACATCCTGCAGGCCGCATGCAGTCCACCAGCCCCATTTTTATACCCCTAGGCTTTCCACGGATCACTCTGCTGCATTCCTATCACCAAGCACAAAAATTCGTAAGTGCAATATTTGGACTATGAACCCCAAATCAAGCCTTTCTTAGGCTTAACATGCCTATTTTTCCCTTTAAAAAACCCTTAACCTTCCTCAAAAATAAAAAGTTCACTTCTTCTCTGGGGTGTCACCAACATGAGTCCTGGGGACCTCAAAGGCCACATCAAAAACTACAATGAAAGGCAAATCCTAGCTAAATATAGTTGTATACATAGTCCCTTATAATAATGAAACCGTCATATCTGAAAAACAAACTTAAGAGGCTACAAGGGCTGTGCAGTGCTTTGGATTCAGTCTCCAAAGGGTGCTTCAGAGTTCACAGAAGCACACATGGGGCACCTGGAGTGGTTTTGTCTTGTAAGATTGTGTAACAACTGTGGAGAGCAATCACATGATCCCCCACCCAAGAGATCCTGCTGCTTTAAGGTGTTGCAGACAGCTGCAACATCCTCACTCCACTTTTACAGATCAGATCTGAAGCACTGCTCAGCCACAGTCTTCACCATGCACATTATGAGTGTAATGGTGTATTTGGCAGGCTCCTTTTTCCCCCCCCCCCCCCATGTCTGTAGCTATATACTGCATAAAATTAGACTTAAGGTCGACCTATTTGGGAGTTAGATAAACTGCTACGAGATCATAACTGCTAAATATTGCCAGGTTCTTACCTGGTCAGCAGTGGTAACACACAATATTAATTAGGACATCCTTTTTTGCAGATACTCAGTGTGTGCCTCTTTTCATTAGTACTGCTCACATTTGTCTGTCATGGCTTTGACCCCATCAGGTACACAATGAAAAACAGGATCAAACTCATTTTTTCTCAAAACAGCTGAACAAATAGTGCCCAAGCAGTTTTTTCATGAGGATCTACAAGAACTGGGTTTTCTTAATTATTTCAGAGCTGGAAATCTGGGCTAAATAGGGGAGGAGGTGGCACTGCAGCTCTGTATATTCATGGGTTAATCCAGCCATGATCAAGTAAATGTATTCTGAAAGTCACCTGATTCATTCAACAAGTAGAGTGGTCATTTTAGATTTTGCTCTCTCTTGACAAGAATAGGGTAGAATTACAGCATGCTGAAAGAACCAAAGAAAGAACTTTGCATCTTGGGGATATTTCATCCACACTCCAAGCTGGCCATTAACCCATGGTGCAATTAATTGTTACCTATAAAGCGCAACATGGTTTGCCACCAAGGTACTTGCAGAACCTCCAGTTGAAATCAACTCTCCCACCCCAACTTGTGCATCCTGTTGGAAGCTATTGGTGATCCTCCCTTTCCACAAATTCTGTGGTGCAAAGACCCATAAGCCTTACTTTTTGGTGGCAGTGCCTACTTTATGGAATAACCTCCTGGTAGAAATCAGCTGTCTACCACAGTCTTAGCCTTCCAGAAGTTTTTGAACACTGAGCTATTCAAGCGGGTTTACAGTGGATGATAGAATGCTCAGTAATTTTTCTTTATGTTTAGGGTTACATGGCTTTAATTACAATTTTAGCTTGAGGGTGGTTGTTTTAATTTTTAATGCTCTGGGTTTTTTTCTGCTCTTTAATTAGTGTAAGCATTGAGAGTCTCCTCAGTGACAACATCAATAAACGAAAGAAAGAAAGAAAGAAAGAAAGAAAGAAAGAAAGAAAGAAAGAAAGAAAGAAAGAAAGAAAGAAAGAAAAGACCCAAGAATGAATTTCCCAGTTTTGACTGGATCATCACATGATTGATATTTTACTGTTTTTACTTGATAAAGCACAAAGGACTTCTTTTTAAAAAAATACTATTATGCTAAACTGATTAACAAAAGAGCAGTATGAATACACCAGACAATAATATAACTTCACAATGAACACAATAAAAATAAAGATAGAGGAAAAATGGAAAGAGGACTGGAAAATTATGTTCTCTGTCAAGAATTGTGGATTATTCTGGCATGAAACTTGACTAAAAGAATTCTCATACAACACTGGAAGAAGAAATATACTCTTAATTTGTGACACTAGATTTTTTTTGGGGGGGGGTCTATTTTGTTGTCAGTTAACATTTGAATTAGTTGTTTCCTGGGGGAAAAAAGCAAGGAAGATTATTTCTGATCAATAAGCTTAAAAGTTTAGGACTTCTGAGTGGCAGAAGTCATGCTTTGCCTGCCAAAGACTCCAGGTTCAAAGAGTTCTGAGGAAATTCCTGGTGGACCTTTGCACCGTACCTACCAATTTTGATTTAAGCAACACTGATTCTACCAATCTGCTGGGCAGCATGGGAATGGTTTCGTGTTGTGGATGTGTGCAAGAAAAAAGAGTTTAAGGTCCCAATTTGCTCTTTTTAAGATGGTAGTAGGGCAGATGTATTGCTATGTGGAAAGTGTGTGGGTATGAGCAAAGTATATTAATATGTGTGTGCATAGGAAAGAGATGGCTGTGTAATTATATTCTGGTTGAAAGTGAGGAACAAGGAGAAATGATGTGTTTCAGAGGTATAAGAAAAGCACTTTGCTTCATTTTACTGTGTCTAACAGAGGCGGCCTCACCTATCATCACCTTCCAACACAACCATCACCTGAAGTCCTAATCCATTGCTGCATTTGATCCTTGAGGACAAAAGTATTACTACTTTGCTTTACATCTATCCCAGCATTATTTTAAATGTATTTTCTTTTGGGGGGGGGTGTTTACCTCTGAATGTCTGGCAGCAAGCCCCATTGAGTTCAATGAGTACATGTTCCTAGGACTGGGCTGAAGAGTGCCAAATATTATTCCTATTCTTCTTCAACTGAAAGTTGCAAACATTCCACACTTA